GTTGGATAATGGAACTTCTGCTTCAATTTACAATTTAGGAAATGTTAGACCTATGAAAGCTCTATAGTCAGTGGATGTCATAAAATTCTCAAGAGAAAGTTAACTTTCCTTTTATAAAGTAATGGTCTCTAAAATTTGCTCAAAAGTGGCATGGATAATAGTGATAGCTTCAAAATTTTGTATTTGCTACTCTGAATTTAATTATTATTCAGTTATATGGAACTAAAGCTAGATATGCTTGCCTCTCCTCACCTCCCTCCTTGGGGTGAGAGTACTAAAAATTAGTCTCAGTTTAAAAAAAAAAAAAAACCCAAAACAAAAAACCCCTCCTTTTCAGGAGTAATTCAGGCCATGATTCCTCCTGAAACAGTGAATCTAGTTCAGCTAACATTTGGAAGCACTGAATAGCATTGTACCAAAGCAACAACATAGGGGAAATTAGGGCATCTTGATAGAGCCAGAAGCAGCATTGTCAGTTGAAATTAAACTTAATCAAAAGGAGAAAACAGTTTTTGGAATCCTGGCAAGTCAAGATTTATCAAAGATTTCTAATGCACTATGCCATCTATGGCATTATTTCTTTTAACTTGAGGCATGTTTCCTAATTAAATAGGAATGTTTTCTGAGTTTCTATTTTAAGGTCACAGTAATCGTGTAAGCCTCGGATGCTTTTAATCTTACTCAGTTGGAAATAGCTGACATGCTATGTTAGTTCAAGCCTTTTGAAAAGCTGACACAAAGATGGCATTAAGACCCACAAGAAATGTGTTAGAGTAAATGCATGAGCGAGAACATGATGGAGGAATACAGATGATATAGATTGCCATGCTGATCTGAAGGGGAAAGGGAAAGAAGTTACACTAAGTGGAAGCATCTTAGACTGCAGTGCAATTCTAGAGTATTTTCCCCAAAGCTGTTGGAAAATTCCTAAGCCAAAGGCCCAGGTCTGAAGAATTTCTGTCTCCCAAGGATAGGAGTGCCTTTGTTATCAGGCTCAGTCATTGGCAGGAGATAGCTTGTCAGAAGGTGGACAAGAACCAATGTAGTTTAGATTTCAGAGTGCTCTAGCTGGAGGCATAGGTCATTTATGCAGTTAGTGATAAGAGAGGTGCATTCTTACAACTGTCACATATGTAAATCATGACATGTTGTGTTTTCATTTTTCATTTAAAATATTTTCTGGGTGAATTTGATCAAAATATGTTATACACATGTACAGAAATGTCACAGTGAAGCCTCTTTATAATTAATATATGCTAATTAAATAAGAAAAATATTTTCTAATTTTAATAATTAACAGAATATGGTCTGGTTTAGTAAGTGTTCCACTGTACTTGCATAGAATGTGTATTCAGCTGTACTGAGATAGAATGTTCTGTAAATGTCAAATTGGTTGATAGTGTTGTTCAAATCTTACATAACCTTAACTAAATATTTGTCTACCTGTTCTGTTAAATTTCTGAGGGGAGTGTCGAAGTCTTCAAGTATAATTAAATTTTTCTATCTGTACCTTCATTTCTCACTAGTTTTTGATGGTACTGGGGTTTGAAGTCGGGGCTTCACCCTACCACTTGATGCTTATTTGGTCTATTATGAGTTCCTTGCATTGCCATGTACATTTAGAACCAACTTAATCAATTGCTACTAAAAATACTAGTCTGAAATTGTGTTGAGTCTGGAAATTAATTTAAGAAGAATGGATGGACATGTTAATAGTTTGGAGCCTTCAAGGCCATGAGCACACTTTTGCCCTCTTGTTACACCTTTTTGAATTTATCCCAGTAGTGTTTTATAGTTTTAATGGGAGGTCTTGTACATTTTTTTGCTACATTTGTTCCTGTGTATTTGATCTTTTTTGATACTAGTGTAAATGGTGTTTTTTGCTTTACTTTCTGGTTGTTTATTGTTTTTGGATGATTGCTGGACATATTATTAAATTTGTTTTAGAAATAATTTGACTCTGGGTGATGTTTTTTTAATTCAGACCAGACTTTCTTTTGCTTTTTGAATAGCAGTTAGACTAGATGGTGATTGCTTTGTCTCAATTAGGAATTACACTATTAAAGCTTGCCTGACACAGACTTGTTTATGGTCACTCTTCATCCAACCCCTCTTTGATGTACCCAAGATCTAGTTTGTGCCCCTTTGAACCTGCAAACATTTCCAGAAGCTATTTTCAGTTTCTCCCAACCACTGCTGTTACTTTCTGATTCAGCAGTCACTTCAGTGGAAAACATTCCTTCAGAATGTTTGGATCGCCTCATTTGTCTTTTCTCTTAAAACTTCTCTAACTTGTGTAGCCACCATGGTAGTATTCTGATGCCTCCAAATCATGTTACATTTTATTTTTTTAATATATATGTGTATGTACATAGACACACATACATATTTATATATAGAAATTACATATATAGAGACCTATACATATATAGATTTTCTATGCATATATTTATGTATAGATTTTATGTGTATATGTACATATATGTATATGTATAGATAAGTAAGCCATTGGCGTGTCTTCCCCCTTCTTCCTATTCTCGTCCACTCTTCCATCTCACTGTCTACTGGAATGGAACATTGTTCCATGTACTTCATTTACTGTTTTGTTTGCAGCACCTAGAATAATGCCTAGCACAGAGGAAAAGCCAGTGGGTATCTGTTGATTAAAAATTAAGTAACATTTTATTTGAGAAAATAGAATGGAACTTCAGAAGAAAATAGCTCTCCTGTCATTTTCTTATACCTAAGGTATACCCTTTCCTGAGCATAATTAGGGTAAGTTCTAAACTAGAAGTTAGAACCATAAAGTTGCAGACTCTCTTTTTAGGAATTTTAATTGACAGATAATAATTTTACTCCGTTTCTTACTGATGTTTCCAAAGATGCTGAGTAACGTCTTTGATCTTTATTTCTGCATTTGTAGTTTCTTTTTTTTTTTTATCAAATAATTACACTTTACTTTTTTCACAAAGTCCATGATATTAGCACATACCTATGCCTAAAACAGCTTTTTTTTTTTCTTTCCATTTTTCTTTTATTATTCATATGTGCATACAAGGCTTGGTTCATTACTCCCCCTTGTCCCCACCCCCTCCCTTACCACCCACTCCACCCCCTCCCGCTCCCCCCCTCAATACCCAGCAGAAACTATTTTGCCCTTATCTCTAATTTTGTTGTAGAGAGAGTATAAGCAATAATAGGAAGGAACAAGGGGTTTTGCTGGTTGAGATAAGGATAGCTACACAGGGCATTGACTCACATTGATTTCCTGTGCGTGTGTGTTACCTTCTAGGTTAATTCTTTTTGATCTAACCTTTTCTCTAGTTCCTGGTCCCCTTTTCCTATTGGCCTCAGTTGCTTTAAGGTATCTGCTTTAGTTTCTCTGCGTTAAGGGCAACAAATGCTAGCTAGTTTTTTAGGTGTCTTACCTATCCTCACCCCTCCCTTGTGTGCTAAAGCTTTTATCATGTGCTCATAGTCCAATCCCCTTGTTGTGTTTGCCCTTGATCTAATGTCCACATATGAGGGAGAACATACGATTTTTGGTCTTTTGAGCCAGGCTAACCTCACTCAGAATGATGTTCTCCAATTCCATCCATTTACCAGCGAATGATAACATTTCGTTCTTCTTCATGGCTGCATAAAATTCCATTGTGTATAGATACCACATTTTCTTAATCCATTCGTCAGTGGTGGGGCATCTTGGCTGTTTCCATAACTTGGCTATTGTGAATAGTGCCGCAATAAACATGGATGTGCAGGTGCCTCTGGAGTAACAGTCTTTTGGGTATATCCCCAAGAGTGGTATTGCTGGATCAAATGGTAGATCGATGTCCAGCTTTTTAAGTAGCCTCCAAATTTTTTTCCAGAGTGGTTGTACTAGTCTACATTCCCACCAACAGTGTAAGAGGGTTCCTTTTTCCCCGCATCCTCGCCAACACCTGTTGTTGGTGGTGTTGCTGATGATGGCTATTCTAACAGGGGTGAGGTGGAATCTTAGTGTGGTTTTAATTTGCATTTCCTTTATTGCTAGAGATGGTGAGCATTTTTTCATGTGTTTTCTGGCCATTTGAATTTCTTCTTTTGAGAAAGTTCTGTTTAGTTCAATTGCCCATTTCTTTATTGGTTCATTAGTTTTGGGAGAATTTAGTTTTTTAAGTTCCCTGTATATTCTGGTTATCAGTCCTTTGTCTGATGTATAGTTGGCAAATATTTTCTCCCACTCTGTGGGTGTTCTCTTCAGTTTAGAGACCATTTCTTTTGATGAACAGAAGCTTTTTAGTTTTATGAGGTCCCATTTATCTATGCTATCTCTTAGTTGCTGTGCTGCTGGGGTTCCATTGAGAAAGTTCTTACCTATACCTACTAACTCCAGAGTATTTCCTACTCTTTCTTGTATCAACTTAAGAGTTTGGGGTCTGATATTAAGAGCCTTGATCCATTTTGAGTTAATATTGGTATAGGGTGATATACATGGATCTAGTTTCAGTTTTTTGCAGACTGCTAACCAGTTTTCCCAGCAGTTTTTGTTGAAGAGGCTGCTAACGTCTTTGATCTTTATTTCTGCATTTGTAGTTTCAATGATTATCCTAATCGTTGAAATAGTTTTAAGTGTTATTAAAACAAAAGAACTTTCATGGGGAAAGTAAAATGATAAGGGCTTTTCAGAATTAATGTTTTATTTTTTAACTTTTTGAGACAGGGTCTTGTGATATAGCCCAAACTGGCCTTGAACTCATGATCCTTCTACCTCAGCCTTCCAACTGCTAGAGTTACAGGGATGCACTACTAAACCCAGTTCTGGAATTAGTGTTTTAATCAAATAAAATACTTATGTATAAATAAAACCTTACAATTTTTGTTATAATAATCTTACCAGTGAATTTAAACAAGGCATATAGATTGTTGTGTTTTAAGAGGTAAAGATGAAAAGTTTTATAAATTTACGTTTTGCACAGTATATAAGTGTTTACTAGTGTTTTTCCCCTTCTTCCCTTTAGGGCCATTTTAACTGCCAGATCTAGTTATTTTGCTGCAATGCTGAGTGGCTGTTGGGTTGAAAGCTCCCAAGAGTATATTATTCTTCAAGGGTAAGCATAATTTTTATGAGGCAGCTTGACTGCAAGTGATGGCAAATAACACTTCATACAAAGCACTTTTTATGAATCTGACCTCCGTTCAGTGAAATATTTTTGTGTAGTAGAACTCAACAGAGTGCATTTTCTGAAACATAAGGTGTTAGGGAGCATTGTGTAATAGAGTCCATACAGGTAGTTTATGATTATGGAAGTTTAAGTGCCAGGCTAAAGAGTTTATTATCCTGTGGGTAAAGGATGGCTCTATTGGTTGTCATCACTGTCAAAAAACAACTTGAAAGTTGTAAGTATCATACTGATAAGATCTCTTCCTTTTAGATGAGTATTAAAATATACACTAAATTTAAGAAAGGTAGTGTTAGAAGTTAGGCGGGAACTGTGATACTCTTAAGGATAATTACTTTTGTGTAATTTCACAGGCCTTTTGTCCAGGGCTTGCATTTCATATATTTTAGACTTGGTCAAAAGTGGTGAAAGTGGCAAAGGGGTGCTGGGGCTTGAACTCAAGACCTCGCATTTGCTAGGCAAGCACTCTACCACTTGAACCACACTTCTAGCCCTTTTTGCTTTAGTTGTTCTTCAGAATATTCTTCAGTTATTCTTGCATATATTTTTTTTTATTTTGGCCTGGGCCAGCCACGGATAGCAATCCTCCCCCCCACCCACTGACAGCAATCTTCCCACTTATGCCTCCTGTGTAGCTGGGATTCCAGGCATGAACTACCTCTCTTGGCTTGTTTGTTGTGATGCAAGGGGGGGGTCCTCACTAACATTTTTCCCAGGCTGTCCTCAAATCATGATCCTTCCAGTATCCATCACCCAAGTAAGTGGGATTACAGGCATGTACCACCACACCTGACCAGATCTACTAAGAGTCAACCCACTCTTATTAGAACTGAATTCAATAAAAATTCGAATTAAGGAAAATATTAGTTTGACTCAGAGTGCAGCTTTTTGGTATTCATTACATGATTCTCTATTTGACAAAAGTCAAAAGAAATGTGTGACTGTGGAATCTTATTCCTCAGCAGGAGAAAGTCATTTATAGAGAGCACAAGCTTAATCTTTCCCTTTTGTAGGTTAGTGACTTTTTCTTTATTTCTTTTTCCTGTTTTTCTCTTTCTTCATACTATTTTTTTGTGGTAGTGGGGTTTAAACTGAGGGCTTCCCTCTTGTTCTGCCATTTGAGCCACATCTCTAGCCCTTTTTTTTTTTTTTTGCTCCACTTATTTTGGAGATTGGGTCTTGCATTTTGCCCAGGCTGGCCTGAACCATGATCCTCCTATTTCATGCTTCGTGCTGTAGCTGGGATGAGAGGTATGCACTGACATGCCCAGCTGTTTTTGATTTGAGATGAGGTCTCACCAGCTTGGAGTCTCAAACCTCCCAGTCTAAGCCTCCCAGGTAGCTTGGGATGATAGGTGTATGTCACCGTACCCACATGTTGATTGAGATCTCACAAACTGTTTGCCTGGACTGGCCTTGAACCATGATTCTCCTGATCTCAGCCTCCCAAATTACAGGCGTACCACCGGTGCCCAGTTGGTTAGTGACAGTTTTAACTACCTGACACCTATTATGTATATCTTTGTTCCTTTCTCCAAATAGATCCTGTCCTCAGCAGTAATCATGCATGACAATTGCATTTTATAGTTTCTATACTTCTACATTCACTATGCTCTTTAATTTTTTACAGTTAGTTGTTGAGATGAGGTAAATTCAAATGAGTATAAACAAGACCAGAAAAGTTAAATGTCTTTCTTTTCTAGTAAGTGCTTATGCTGACTGTAAATCACATATAAATTCTTAATTAAGAGTTCATTCTGCCACAGTCATCGAACAAATTAAAAAATTTTCCCATTGGCATACTGTATTCTTTAGCTAGCTCAGAGACTCTTCTCTACTGTTAAAATCAGTCATTTTCAATGACTGATTTAATTTGTCTCATTAAACCCTAAAGTTCCTGGGAAGTGTGTTAGGAAACAGGTATGGGATTAGGATGTAAGGGGAAGACCATTTGGAACCGAGTGCTCCTTCAACTTTTATCTGTTTTACATAGTTTGAAATGACCTCTAAGTTTAGTTTAGGAATGAAGGCAAGGGGAATACTTTATTTTTGCCTTTTTCCTTAATCACCTCTCATGAAATGATGGAGCATTTACACACTCAGCTTTTAAAGATGTCAGTGGATAAGAAAGAAACAGTGGCATCTACTGCTAGTTTCTACTCTTCTCACCTGTAATTTTCCATTTTTAATTCATAATGGAAGTAGTAGATAAATACGCCTTCTTACAGTGTGGCTCATTAATTACTGACCAATTTTAGTAGCTTGTTCAAGCAAAATAGAAGTAGCCAAAAAAGTGTCATCAAAATAAGCAAACTGTATGTTGTATTAGTGCCAACCACAACCAGGCCCACACGTCTTACAGTATTTTCCCTTCACTTCTTTGGTAATCTTTACTGGTTCATATTACCCAAAGCTCCTCATTAGCAGTGGAGACTCACTCCTAATTGGCTCATTAGCACTTACCTAACGCTCTTGTACTGGAAATAATGATACATTTTTTTTTGGTTCAGCAGTTTTTATCTTCCTTGATAAAGCAAGGTTTTCTAACACTAAAATGAAAGATAATGGGTACATGGCTTTATCTACATCCTTTATCATTATTATCATCACACAATTCTATGATATGTCTTTCCTTTCCTGTTGTGTCACCTAGCAAACTGATTGTCTCATTACCACCTGAAATGTGACTAGTATCATAGCATATAAAGCTGTTGTGAAAAACTTTACTTTTCAAAAAAATCTATCTTTTAGGAATTTTATATTATAATAAGGTAATCTACAAAATAAATTCCATTTTCCCATTAACATATTTTTAAACTTGGTTAGGGTTAGATGTTTTTATGAGGAGTGTGGTTTAATAGAAAGATTTTGAACTTTGGTGTCCTTACAGGAGATCTTATATTCATCTCTAACTTGTTATATGATTTTAGGGACATTCCTTAACTTTTCCTGAGCTTCCTGAGGTTATTGAAAGTATTAAGACAGATAGAGTAAGGAAAGACTGGCATTCTGCTTGGTACCTAACATAGTGCTAATTAACATTTGTCTTTTTCTTCTTTCTCTAGATTAAATCTTTTCATTTTCTAGAGAGAAAAAGGTTTAAATGAGGACCATTCCTAATACCAGGATAGCAGTGCCTATTTTGCATGATCATCAGCAGCTTTTGGAACTGTGCAGCTGATACATGTCTACAGGATGTTGTCCAGAAATAGATTAGAATTAAATCCTGTCTGTCCTTATAGAAAGGACCACTGTGTTTTAATGTTAGTTATTCAGAAACATAATACACATGACGTTTTTCAATAAATTGAGGTTTGAACAGTATAGTCCTATAATCCCAATTCCACCCATGCCCCAGAGTTGGGGAATGGAAGGGTATAGTTGGAAGGAAGTTCTCTCCTGTTCTAATAAGATGAAGGGGAGAGCCTGCATGCTAGAATGAAAGTTGAACCACAACCAACGCTTCTATGAAGGAACTCCATGTATTTCCATTTTTATAAATAGAAGGCTTACAGAGGTGACTTAGGCTTTGGAGCATAAATTTGGAGTTCTCATCTCTCTTATATTTCTAAGATTGTTGTGAGCCTTCAGTATGATCATTTCAAATATAAATCATATTTCTCTCCTGACTAAAATCCTGCTCTATCTTCTCATCACACTTAGAATTAAATCCAAACTCTTTTTGTTGGTGGTACTGGGGTTTGGACTCAGGGCCTTGTACTTGCTAGGCAGGTTCTCTACTGCTGGAGCCAAAAACTTACAAACCTATATGATCTGGCTTCTTTCTTTTCTTTTTTTTTTAATCATTCTTTTCTTTATTTGTTGGTCTTTCCTCCACTAAGCTCATTCTTGTCTCAGGACTTTTGTACCTACTATCCTTTCTGCCTAAATTTTTTTTTTTTACTTACTATTTTGTATAATTGGCTTCTAATGCTTGAAATCTTAGATCAAGTTTCACCTTCCAAGAATACCCTACTTAATATAACAACAGCCCAATTCATCACTTGGTCTCTTTTATATTACCCAATAGTATTCATGACACTTTGACCATCAAAAACATCTTCCTCATATATTTTTTACATATTTATTTTCCATGTTCTCCTTGTAGAATGTGAGCCTCTTGTATCCCAAGGTCTAGAATAGAGCCTATTTGGTAAAGAATGAGTGAATGAGAATGGATGGACAGATTAAACAGATGAATGATTAACTGAATCAATTAGAGTCTATATGTTACCTTATCCCACATACATAGCAACCTGAAACTTTAGAAAGCATACATAAAGCACTTCGGTGTCATATACCAAGTGTATTTTCAGTCACTGATCTTAGATTATTGCTCTCTCATCGGTATTTCTTTATTCTAATTGATTATTTATAATGTTTTCATCTCCTATAAGTTTTTATCCTGGTAACATCTTAGTTGGAATAATGCTTTAAATCTTTGCATTTAAACTGTGGGCTATTGGAGTAATTTGTTGTTTTTCTAGGTCAGTTAATCATGTCTTTATAAACACTTTTAGTAAAAACACAAATGACTTACAACATAATAATAATGCAGCTTGATGAAACATCTGCCAAGACAGTAGGAAAATGGTTTCTTACTGTTTTTATAGCTATCATATATTGATATATAGGATCAGATGTCTAGATTATGCTGCTTACTTTTAAATGACTTCTATTTTTACTTGGTCATTTTCTTTTGCTTAAACATACCAAGTCTTAAACTGTTCTTTCAATATAAATAGCCAGATATTGTTAATGTTTATATGAATGGCTCTTGAGAAATCTGAAGAAAGCTATATTGATAGTGTGTACATTGTAGTAATTATGCTAGTGTTTTAGATTAACAAACTATAAGTAATATATGGCTTAATTATTTTGAGATTAATTCTTATTACAGCCACAGTGTATGAATGAGAATCTTAGTTATTTCACTTTTTTCCTAAGTATTAAAGCTGCAGAGATTTGAATAAGCAGAAACTAGTACTTATCTGTATTAGAGGCTAGTAAATACTTATTAAATTAATATTCACGTATTTTCAACTCTTTTCCTGTGAAGGTTTGGGTTCTTCTATAAGTGTCCAAATAAGCCATTCATTTAACCGTTCATCAAACATTTACTGAACATATATTATTTAAGAACAGAAAATCAAAGTAGACACTTGACTGAGTCCTTCCCTCTGGGACTCCATTTCTTATCTTTCCTTCCTTGTTTTGGTCCTTTAGCAAATATTAGCTACTATGCTTAACAACCTGTGAGGGTCTTATTGGCACTGTCAAGATTCTACTACAAGGCTCCCTTCTGGTCTAGAGGGCCTTAATTCAGTGCTGACACTCTTCTGGAAACAGAAATACAAGGATACATAAGATATGAGTATTGCTCTTACAGAACACAGTTTAGAAAGAGAAAAAATATATAAGCAAAGGTATTACAAGTCAGTTTGGTAAATATGATAATAAAAGTATGTGTAGAATACTGCTTAAGAGGCAAGGCTTTGGAATGATTCTGCCTAAATTCCAGTGGATTGCTAGCCATTTGGCCTTGAGTAAATTACTTAATTTGAGTTTCTAAATCTGTAAAACAAGACTAATAATAGTATTTGCTATAGAGTTATGATAACTAAATGAGCCAGTAACATTCAAAGTATATAATAGCTTAGGAGCTGGCTTATACTAAGTGCTCAATAAATGTTAGTTACTGTTTTTGACACTCAGTGTGTTTTTGTTTTTGCCTTGGGAGCATTAGGGAAATAGTCAAGAGATAGCCATATGTCTTGTGTCTGAAAGTTAAAATAAATGAAGATGGAGAACATTTTGAGCACAGTGAACAGCATGTGCTAAAGCATGGATATATAAGGGATTTCACATAGTTTAAGTATAGGAAATGAGTTAAGTTCATTTATCTTGGAAAAGCTACTAGAGAGAACTGGAGGTAGATGACAAAGGACTTTATGTAACAAGCTGAGGAATTTGGACTTTTTAATGGGCTTTGGAGAATACTTGCGGAGGTTTAGAAGTGGGAGACTATATAAGATATGCATTTTAGCAAAAGCACTCTAATAGCAGTGTGGGTAATGGAATGCAAGCAGAAGATTTCAGGCAGGAAACCTATATGAGAGGATACTGTTGTAGTTCAGATGGGAGAAAATATGAAGCTGAAGCAGGACAGGAGATGGAAAATGGGAAGCAGCTGAATTCAGGAAATTCTTGAAGGTATAAATGACAGAATATAACGAGGGAGAGAACTAAGATTAACCTCAGATTCTCCTCCCCACCAACCCCCAGTGCTGGGGTTTAAACTCAGGGCCTACACACACCTTGAGCCACTCTACCAGTCCATTTTTGTGATGGGTTTTTTTGAGATAGGGTCTTGGGAACTATTGCCTGAGCTGGCTTTGAACAGTGATCCTCCTGATCTCTGTCTCCTGAGTTGCTAGGATTATAGATATGAGCCACCGGCACCTGGCTAACCTCAGATTTTGACTTGGGCTCTAGATAAATAATGTGAGAGTTTTCAGGGGACCCAATAAATAGCATATTTTCTTCCTGTTCAGAATGAAACAGAAGAATCAATCAGCATATAAAATAAGAGAAAATTTATTTTATTACTGTTAAAAACCTAGAATGCAAGAACCCAAGTTGGCTTGTTTACTATATCCCTCTGAGTCAGCCCACAAACATCCATGGGCCACATGTGATAATGGCCTTCTTGCTGGTAGTGTCCAATGGTGGGAAGAATCAGAGACCTAGTCAAAACGTCTTTTATAGCAGACCCTCTAGAGATAACCTGTTAATCTGTTAATCCATTCATGACAGCCAAGCCATTATCACCTGGTCCTACTTTTTAATGTCTCATAATGGGGGTTAAATTTTAACTTGAATTTTGGAGGGAACAAGCTATGTTTAAACCACAGTAGAATCCATCAATTCACTTTAAACAGTAGCTCAAAAAAGGTCATCACTCCAAACTATTTTTGTTGTTGTTTTGGCAGTACTGGGGTTTGAACTCAGGTCCTTCCACTTACTTAGTAGGCACTCTATCACTGGAGCCATTCCTCCAGCCCTCCAGAACTATGTAAGTCATATATTTCTTTACTTTTTCAGTTGTATAATGAGGACATAGACCGAGCTAGGGCCACTGATAGGTATTACAAATTAAGAAATGTGTATGCATAAAATAGAATTGTTTATCTTTAAGCAAGACCAGAAGCTATTTATCAAAGGTGTTGAGAAGGGGATTTTTTTTGTGTGAGTGGTGCTAGAGATGACACCTACAACCTCACTCATGCAAGGCAAGAACTGTACTACTAAGCTAGGTTCCTAGCAGAAAATTCCTTAATGAGCTAGAGGTTACACTAAAGTCCCTTCTAACTACAGAAGTCTGTAGAAGAAGATGCTCAAAAAATAAAAAATGATGTTATACTTACAGTATTTTATAACATGTAAAATCTATAGCTGCAGTTTATTTTAAATTAATGATATATGTACATGGAGTTATTTGAAGAATGGAAGTTAGAACATTATCTTAGCTAAAAGTTTATGGAAAAATAGAATGTTACTGATAATAGTTAAACCTTAACTATTTCTGGATTTGGGTTTTCTTTTATTTTTGCAGTATAAACCATGTGGAAATGAATGTTATGATGCATTTTATATATGGAGGGACATTGGATTTTCCAGACAAAGCTAATGTTGGGTATGTATTACATTTTAATAAGTTTAGATATAAAAATGTTAATATTTTACAAAATATTATTGAACTATTGTTGAACTATTTTACAAAATGTCAGTGAAGTAGAAGCTCCACTTCTATTATCTATTTTGCCATATTTTGAGTATGTTTGGGGAATAGCTGAAAATAATAAGCAAATCACCTTATTTAGAAGAAAAGGTAAATGAGGTATTATGAGGTAACAACTCATAATAATAAGATTAAGAAAAATCTTTTTAGATTTAATTATAGTAGAAGAACCTTATTTTTGTTTGAAATGTAAATGACAGATTTTTATAAAATAAAGTCGATCAATCAATAAAGCTTTGAATATTATTTTGTTGCTTTATTTTTTAATTTTGGGATCTTTATGAGATGGCATTTTGCTATGTAGCCCAGGCTGTCCTGGAACTCATGATCCTCCTACCTCAGCCTCCTGGGTGCTGAGATTTTCAATATGTGTGACCATGCTTGGCTACTTTGTCTTTTTTTAAAACAGTAAAAGACAAGACAAAAACCTTTAAACCTATTAAAGAATATAAGGTATCCTAAAGACCAGCAATTATGTGATGCTTACATGTTGTGTAGTGAAATATCATCTGAGCTTCTGAAATACTGCTGAAGAATGAAGTTCCACCTTGCTCTTTTAATTTTCCAAATGTCTTCCCTTACCTTGCTATTTTAGCATCAGACCAATTAAAGGTGTTTGCTTAACTTTAAACACTGGTTGGGGTTTCTTTAATTACGAACTGACTAAATATATTTTGGGGGATAGCATACCATGAGTCACAGTAACTAAGTACTAAAGCGTTATCCTCTGGCAACTTAAATGAAATTTTATTATGTTCTCAAGGCTTGTAGGGTTTTACAGGCACCCTAGTTGTTGAGCCATGCCCCCAGTCTTTTTTGCTAAAGTTATTTTTCAGGTAAGGTCCCACATTTTTGCTCAGAGTTGGCCTCAGACAATGATCCTTCTACCCATGGCCTCCTGCATAGTTGAGATCACAGGTGCACACCACCATGCCTGACTTACTGATTGAGATTGGGTCTTGCCAACATTTTACCAGGACTGCCCTAGAACTGCAATGCTGCCAATCTCTGCCTCCTAAGTAGGGATTACAGACATGAGCTAATATATACAGCCAAAGCTTGTAAGCTAAGTACTTAAAATACGTGTAAGTTTTCAGAATTACTAAATGAAAACTCTCTGGTCTTTGGATGCTGTCTCTAATATTAGAATCATTTATAAGCACTTTCAATATGATAAGCATCAATAAATTCCCTTTCAGAACTTTTATTATACAAAGTTGTGGCAAAGATTTTTGTAAGAGTTACAGTCTCTAAAGCAGTTTCCTTTGTTCTGTATGGCATTGAACATATGAGGGGAATTTGAAACATCTCCAAGTTTGCTTCTTGTTATCCTTCACCAAGCAAATTATATGTTAGTGCTTTCAATTTTTGCCCCACATCATTTCTATAATCCGTAAGGAATATCTATTATGTTAAGTAAAAAAGTAAAATACTAGAGATACCCTTTTCTAAATTGACTAAGTATTATAAATAAATTACTGTTTATTATGGTTTGATTTTAAATTTGCTAATTAACAGTACATCTATTTTTATTTTAGTCAGATACTCAGTGTGGCTGATATGTATGGACTAGAAGGATTAAAAGAAGTAGCAATCTATATTTTAAGAAGAGATTACTGTAATTTCTTTCAGAAGGTAATTATTAAGTCTCAGAAATCTTTCCCCAGTACATTAACCTACCCATTATTATTAGATTTTTAATGTTGATAGTATTAGTGATTTAAATATTAAAAATATTAAATCAGTAACTAATAGGGGCTCTAGTTGAGAAATAACATGTATGATTGCAAAAATCAGAAACTAATTCAAATCATTTTAAGTAAGATACATTAATGGGGAGGAGTTTATTGAAAAGTTATAAGAATATCTTATATAATTCAAAGATAGAATGTACAGCTGGGATTCAATTATGTTTTCATAGTAGGAGAAAGGAAGTTAAGAAATACAGTTACCCTTTTCATTTATCAAAGAGCTCCACAAGTGGTTCATTGGTTCTTTTCTCTAAAAAGTGTGTTCCTTCCTTCTACCACTTCTGCGAAGCATATACTCGAGGTAGAACACAGCTCTCTTCTACCTGTCTTCCCCAGGTGGAGTCTGAATATTGTTTTTAATTTCAGTTAATGCAAATGCAAATGCAAATGTACTGTCTAAAGAACTATCTCATACTATGCATTTCAATACTATTTTATACATTATTCTTAGATCCATCATGTACCATATGACTGTAGGGTTTTTTCTTATGATTTTCTGCATTATGTAAATTTTTTACAATGAGCACATATTATTTTAATAATCAAGAAAAAACAGATCATAAGAGAATCATTTACATTATAGTTCCCTCTTATTTGGTACTTGAGATAATATGCATTGTATGAATTTTAATTTGGTTATTTTAATAACATTTAAATAGCTTTTTGTGTTGGGTAGAGTATTTCCTACCTCTTTACAGGTTGTATCTAAGGAAACACTAACATGCTAAAAAAAGAGTCAAACAACTGGGTAGTACTACCCCTTGTGTAAGGTTTACTGAAAATTAAACCCCTCAGCTACCTTTAACCAACAATTCACTCCAGACTCCTTAAATAAGGGAATTGAAAGAAGGGGGACAGCTGTGGTATCATTAGCTTTGTAGAGTAGGCTTTTCCTTCTCCATCATATCACTCCCCCATCTTCCTAATCAGTGAAAGTTAGGAAGAATATCCAAGTGAATCACAAAAATTAAAGCTAGGGAATATCTGCAATAAGGAGATGATGTCTTCTTACTGACATTTACTGTATCTGTAAAACCATTTCACCATGGATATTCTATCAAAGAAGAAAAGAAAATAAGAGCTTTCTTGAGGAAGCTTAGAATAGGCCTGAGAAGCCAGTGAGAATATCCTTGAGTGTGGAGATTTCTAAAGGGAGAAGGTTTGCTGGGGAAGTGAGTACTATTGTAGTGGTAAGTACTACCCAGAGGGACAATAATGGCGAGTTCACTCTTACCCCAGTTACACTAGAGTACAGAATATATATTAGAGGCAAATGATACAGGGCCAAGTGACAGTGTTTCACCCAGGGAGACATTGTGCATTATAAACCCCTGGGAGGAGTCCTTACCCATACATAGTCTAGAGTGAAGCTTGATACTCCTAAAAGAGCTCCTAAATTAGCAGTGACCACCAGCATTTAAGTTAGAGAAAAATCAAGGACCAAAATCCTACTACCATCTTAGTCTCTGCTTAATTGCGTAAGGCAACCATAGCCATAGGACCAGTCAATGGAACTCCACAGGAGTTAGATCCAAAAAATGAAAGAGCAGGAAATAAGAACATGTTTCTGTTCTGTATTCCAAATTTGCCCAACCATAAATCTAGTCCATGATGGGGAGGGAAGATTTACAATTTTTTTTTGGTGGTATGGGGTTTGAACTCGGGGCCTTGCTAGATAGGTACTTTATTTGAACCACTCTGCCAATAAAACCAGAAAGTTACAAAATCAGCTTATAATGTCATCAAGGGATGGAAGAGGGGGTATCTGACATTTGACATAACATGTTTAAAAGTACTAGTTGGAAAAAGAAGTTTTAGTTTAGTATCTCCTTTGAGCCGAGATTCCTTATGAAGCCAAATACATCTGTCTATTATTGAAAAAATAGTCTCTTTTATGAGTAATCCCTGTACTTTTGCCTCTATTTTTGATATTTTATGAGTAGTGATTATATGTAGCTTCTTATATTTTACTTTCAATAATCTTCTTAATTTTATTCTATTTTTAATTTTAATTTTTTTTAAGTCAAGACAGGTCATGGGCTGACATTGTAACAAAGTTTGAGAGTCACAAAAACCCAATCATCACACTTAGGAACCACAAAAGGATTTCTACTTAATTAAAACAAACACAAAGGGCATATTGTTTTCTATTAAAACAATAAGAAGGGTTTTTTTATTAGCATGGCATTTTGATGAAAAAATTTTTACTATAATTCATTTATTTTAATATAGTCTTATATTACTGTGGCAATGGATATTTGAAAAAAATAGGTTCTGAGGTTTTTTTATCTCATCATTAAACTTTGTTACTTTATATATTTTAATGATATATTTTATGTATACTTTTTGAATATATATAATTTTTAATTTTAGTTCTCACCTTTCAGTGACTTACAGATATAATAAATTTCTTTTTTTTAATCAAATGTCATAAATTTCTAATAATACTCTACAGTAGTACAAATTTGAGTATAATGTGGGAAACCAGCCCAAGAACACCTGATTGAAGCTAGCCTTAGTTATATTAATTTCACAAAACTGGACTTTACACAATTGGGAAATTTTGGGCTTCATTTGTAGGGCTATAATGGGCTTTATGTTAATATTTTTTACTATCCATTAAAATGTATTTCAGAAAAATGATTTTTTTTATGTCTTCCCAAATTCTATAAGCAGGTCTTGAAAATCACTGAAGGTCAGATTTCTGACTACAAAAACACTTAGGCATCAGCATTTTCATATAAATAAATTCTCAAGATAGCCAGAGTTGTTCCTTTAAGCCAGGAATCAGCATGTTTTTCTGTCAAAGGTTAGATAGAAAATGTTTGAAGCTTTATGGTTTATATGGTCTCTATCACAGCTACTCTGCTGCTGTAGAGCAAAGGCAGCTGTCAGTAATATATAGATGAAATAATATGGTAGGGTTCAATAAAATAGTGATAGATTAGATTTGGTCCACAGGTTGTAGTTTTCCAGCCTCTGCTTTAAGCAGCAAATTATTTTGTATTTTGATAATTTTTATGAAAATTATTTTTGCTTTGTATCAAATAGTAGATTTTGTAGTACTTGAAGCTGATAATTCCTAAGTAAAATACACTGCTGGAACTTTTAACTCTTGTTTATACTTCAGCAATTTTTCAGACTTCTGGGTGCTTTTAGGCTATAAAGTATGTCCACACAAGTAGCCCCTATTCTCGTACTAATTTGATACTCTCATCTGAAGTGGGTCAAAAAAACTAACTTTGTAGAATTATCACTGTATAATCTATATAATAGTGATAGTCATTTCTGATTTTAGGACAACCTAGAGTAACTAGGTTACCCTGTATCTTACATGGATTTTAATTGTCTAATTAATCAATATGCAGAGCAAAATATTTACATTTAATTCTTAAAAATTAATATCATGTCTTTTGGGAGGGAATATTAGAAAATCAAATTAATAGCAGTTCATAATTTAAAAGTTGGAAATGACTGACCTTATTAGGACTTTGCTAGAGGCATTTCCAAAGAAGTTTTTGTTTTGCTTTGAGAGCAAGGGCTCTTTGGAAGTACATATTTAGATACTAGATAGACAAGTTGGCTTATACTGGTCTTTAAGCACATACACCCAAAGCTACAACTAATAAATATGTATGAAGAGAATTTCAACCTAGTTTGGCAATAAGTGTGCCTAGGAGCATAGTTGAAACCCTGAAAATACATGGCATGGGCACAGATGCCTAATAGCAAGAGCAGTAAGTTGTTTTTCCTACTTTTATCTACATTTTAATTGTTTACTTTAATTCATTACTTCTATACATGTTCTTTAAAAATACATTATATATTAAGATCTAACTAAGTTCTCCTTTTTTTTTTTTGGTGATACTGGTGTTTGAACTTGGTGGCCTCATGCTTTCTAGGCTGGCACTCTACCACTTGAACCACTCTGCCAACCCTTTTTTGTGTGTGTGGAGTGTTTTCAAGAGAGGGTCTCAGGAACTATTTGCCCACATGGGCCTCAAATCTTGATCCTCCTCATCTTTGCTTTCTGAGTTGCTAGGATTACAGGTCTGAGCCAACAGTGCCAGACCAAGTTTTCTCTTTTTTCTGAGGTCGGTGTGGGGTCTTCCATTGCATGTGTACTTTGTTACATTTATCTTTAGGAAGCATATTAGATACATTGTATTGCAATGTAATATCTTAGAAATTATTATATTATTTTTCTTTACTAAAAAGAAGTTAGAATAAAAATTATGTACATTCTGGCAACTAAAAAAGCTCAAATGGTAGTCTATAAAAGTAGAAGTTATCACTGATACTTGATTTTAAAAGACTAACAGTTTTAAAGATGAATTTTAGAGCAATTTAGGTTCATAGCAAAACTGACAGGAAAGTACAGACATATCCCATCTACCAGCTTCCTCAACGCATGCTGCCCATTGTCAACATCCTTCACCAGAGCGGTACATTTGATGCAATTAATGAACTTACATTGACACATCATTATTATCACTCCAAGTCTGAAGTTTACATTAGTGCTCATTCTTGGTGTTCTGCAGTCGTGGGTTTGGACAAATGTGTAACATTATGTAGTATTTTCAGTGCCTTAAAAATTCTTCCCTCTCCACTATCCCCTGGCAACGTTTTTTTTTTTTGTTTTGTTTTGTTTTTTTTTTACTATTTTCACAGACTGTTTTCCAGATTGTTACATAGTTAGAATCATATTCCAACTTTTTGGTTTGGCTTCTACTTAATATTCACTTAATATAATATGTATGAAAGTTTCCTCCTTTCATATGAAAAAGTTTCTTCCTTTTTCATAGCTTGATAGCTTGTTTTTCAATGCTGAATATTTTGTTGCATGTATATACTACAGTTGACTTATCCATTCCTCTCATGAAGGACATCTTGGTGCTTCCAGTTTTTGGCAGTTAGGAGTAAAGCTGCTGTAAATATCTGTGTCCCTACAGGTTTTGTATAGAAAGGTGTTTTTAAGAAAAAAATTTAAGACATTGGTTATAGCATGACTACAAATAGAATACTAGCAGAAGTTGATTCCAGATAACAAATTAAGTGTAGAAAATGAATTGTATGTATGTATTCTACAGGTGAGGTATATAAATCAAATCATGTTTATAAGCCAAATTCTTTCACCTTCTATAAATTGAAAAAAATAAATGTGATATTTTCTATCAATTTTAGCCTGTTCCCAGAACATTGACATCTATACTAGAATGCCTAATTATTGCTCATTCAGTTGGAGTGGAAAGCCTTTTTGCTGACTGCATGAAGTAAGTTATCTCAAGCAGTGCTGCTGTTAATTTAGGGATTTTTATTCTTTTATTCTCCTTGTTTTGCTGGCAGTTTTTGACTTGGTCTGTTTTCTTGGGCACAATGCAAGGAATTTATTGCTTATCTAGCTGTACCAATTGGGTAGAAATATTGATTTAGATATTATTTAAATTGAATCATGGTTATGTTAAAATCTGTGCACATAACCCAACATAGGTTTAAAATATGTGTATTTCTAGAAAAGCAAGTATAGAGATCAAAATTAACAGTAAGGGTCAGTTAAAACATGTATGTGTATAATTTATATAATTGAAAACAAAAATATTGATTTTTAACATGAAAAATATTTTCATTACTCTAATTTGGGATCCTTTTATTTAACAGGTGGATTATAAAACATTTTTCAAGGTTTTGGTCTGAAAGAAGCTTTTCAAATGTACCCCCTGAGATTCAGAAAAGTTGTCTTAATATGTTGATTCAGTCCTTAGTAAGTATAACCATCAAAAAGCTTATTCAATTTTGTATAGTACCTTTTTTTTTTTTTTTGCAGTACTGGGGCTTAAACTCAGGGCCTACACCTTGAGCCACTTCACCAACCCTTTTTGTGTTAAGTATTTTTGAGATAAGGTCTTGCAAACTCTTTGCCTGGTCTAGCTTCAAACCATGGTCCTCCTGATCTCTGCCTCCTATGTAGCTATCATTCTAGGTGTGACCCACCGGCACCCAGCTTGTATATTTTCAATGATTTAAAAATAAATGTAGAATGTTGTTATAAAAGCAAGATAAGAAAAGCAATTCCAGATTGCTGTCCTTAAAATCCTGTTCCTCTAGGCCTGAAGGTGACGTTCAAGTGGCAGAGCAACTGCCTAGCAATCAGGAGGCCCTTAGTTTAAACCCTAGTACTGCCAAAAAAAAAAAAAAAACAACAAAAAACATTCTGTTCCTATGAAACTACTCTCAGCATCCAATTCATGAATTGCAGTCAGGGTTCAAAGAGGCAAAACCATTAGTGGGGGGGTGTTTTTGTGTGTGTGTGTGTATGTATGTATGTATGTGTATATATGTGTTACAGATACACATATATACACATATATTTATTTCTCTTCATTCCAAAGACAAGGATTCCACCTTAGGAACATAGTAATGACTTACTGAACTGGAAGTTGAGACTTTCTTTCTCTGGCACTTTGTAAATCCACATGCAAATGAGAATTAATGATAGGTGAGTCTGACCATAAGGGGAAATTGGCTTGTTGCTATACTTTATGGGAAGGAAGAACACATCTGGAATGTAGTACTACCAGGTTCTAAGTAAAATCCATTAAAAAAAAACCTATAACCACCTAATTTTTCAGCAGTGCTGATAATGGCCCAGATTCTTCAGGAATGAATATTTGGGCCATTCTACCAGGTAAGGAACTATAAACAGCAGAGGTACTTGCTGAGGGCAAAGAGAATATGGAGGGTAATGGAAGAATATAGTTATAAATAACATTTGTGACTATGTACCAGTTGTAGAAGTGTGTACTGCAAAGTTAGAATATAAACATACAATATACCAAGTATTATTAATACTTGGGTGTATTATAGTTTGAGGTCAGCTCAGGCAAAATGTTAGTGAGACCACTTCCATCTCAATAAGTGAGGCATGGTGTTACACTCTGTAATCTCAGCTATGAGAGAATTATAGGTAGGAGGATCATGGTCTGAGGCTGACCCTAAACAAAAGCAGGACCTTACCTGAAAAATAAACTAAAAGCAAAAAAGGGCCATGGTTGTGGCTCAAGTGAAGGCCTTGAGTTCACACCCCAGTACCACAAATAAACAAATACTAAATAAAACAAAAAACTTTTCTGTTTTAGAAAAATGTTAGCATGTTTATTGGATGGGGTTTATTATATCATTATAGGCAGAAAAATAACTGATATATTGTCTTCCTTTGTGAACCAAGTATGACTGCCAGGTTAACAAGGATTGACTATATTGTCTTTATAACATGCTAGCCTGGCTACGATGATCTTTCCAAAATCTCCTTCTGTGTATATTTTCAGTTAATGGAGCCACAAGACAGTTTGATGTGAGATTTAAAAGGCAGAAGTAATTAAGGCAGGTGCTTTTTTTTTTTTAATTCATATGTGCATACATTGTTTGGGCCATTTCTCCCCCTGCCCCACCCACCCTTCCTCTCCCCTGCCCCCTCCCTCTGCCCCCTCGCTTCCAGGCAGAACCTGTTCTGCCCTCTTCCAATTTTGTTGAAGAGAAGACATTATCAATAATAAGAAGGACATAGCATTTTTGCTAGTTTGAGATATGGATGGCTATACAGAGAGATTCCTAACATTGCTTCCATGCACATGTGTATTACAACCTGAATTGATTCATCTCTACCAGACCTCTTCACTACTTCCCGGTCACCTTCCCATATTGACCTCTGTTGTTTTAAGGTTACTGTATTAGCTCCTCTGCAGTGGGGACATCAAACACTTTCAAGTTTTGGGTTTCCTCCCTTTCCCTATTCCTCCTGTATGTGTCTTCCCCTTAGCATGTGACATGTGTCTAATAATATTACTGCATTTTTTTTAGATCTGAAGTCCACATATTAGGGAGAACATATGATTTTTGGCTTTCTGAGCCTGGCTAACTTCACTTAAGATGATGTTCTCCAGTTCCATCCATTTATTTGGAATGATAAGATTTCATTCTTCTTTATGGCTGAGTAAAATTCTGTTGTGTATAAATACCACATTTTCTTAATCCATTCGTCAGTAGTGGGGCATCTTGGTTTCCATAACTTGGCTATTGTGAATAGCACTGCAATAAACATAGGTGTGCAGGTGCCTTTGGAGTAACCTGAGTCACATTCCTTTGGATATATCCGTAGGAGTGGAATTGCTGGATCATATGGCAGATCTAGGTTTAGTTTTTTTAAGAAGCCTCCATATTGTTTTCCAGAGTGGTTGTACTAGCTTCATTCCCACCAGCAGTGTATAAGGGTTGCTTTTTCCCCACATTCTCGACGACATTTGTTGTTGGTGGTGTTTTTGATGATAGCTGTTCTGATAGGGTTGAGGTGGAATCTTAGTGAGGTTTTGATTTGCATTTCCTTTAAGGCAGAGATGGTGAGCACTTCATGTGTTTTTTGGCCATTTGAATTTCTTCCTTTGAAAAAGTTCTGTTTAGTTCAGTTGCCCATTTCTTTATTGGTTCATTGATTTTGGGGGAGTTTAGTTTTTTGAGTTCCCTATATATTCTGGTTATCAGTCCTTTGTCTGATGTATAGCTAGCAAATATTTTCTCCCACTCTGTGGGTGGTCTCTTCAGTTTAGAGACCATTTCTTTTGTTGTGTAGAAGCTTTTTAGTTTTAGTCCCATTTGTCTTTCCTTTCTCTTAATTGCTGAGCTGCTGGGGTTCTGTTGAGGACGTCTTTCCCTATACCTATTGCTTCCAGAGTATTCCCTGCTCTTTTCTGTACTAGCTTCAGAGTTTTGGGTCTGATATTAAGGTCCTTCATCCATTTTGAGTTGATACTAGTACAGGGTGATAAACATAGATCTAATTTCAGTTTTCTGCAGGCACATAACCACTTTTCCCAGCAACATTTGTTGAAAAGGCTGTCTTTCCTCCATCGTATGTTTTTGACGCCTTTGTCAAAAATAAGGTGGGCATAGCTGTGTGGATTCATATCTGGTTCCTCTATTCTGTTCCACTGGTCTTCATGTCTGTTTTTCTGCCGGTACTATGCTGTTTTTATTGCTATTGTTTTATAATATAGTTTGAAGTCAGGTACCTTCAGCATTGCTCTTTTTGCTGAATATTGCTTTGGCTGTTCATGTTCTCTTGTGTTTCCAAATGAACTTTAGGTAGATTTTTCAATCTCAGTGATGAATGTCATTGGGATTTTGATGGGAATTGCGTTGAACATGTAGATTGCTTTTGGTAGTATAGACATTTTTACTATGTTGATTCTACCAGTCCATGAGGACGGAAGATCTGTCCACCTTCTGTAGTCTTCCTCAATCTCTTTCTTCAGAGGTTTATAGTTCTCCTTACAGAGGTCATTCACATCCTTTGTTAAGATTACTCCCAGGTATTTGACTTTTTTTGAGGCTATTGTAAATGAAATTGTTTCCATATATTCTTTCTCAATTTGTTCATTGTTGGTGTATAGAAAAAACTAATGTAATCAATGTAAGTTGATTTTGTATCCAAGGCAGGTGCTTTTAGGTCTCATGTTGCTGCTTACTTACTGGCTCATTTGTGGGCATGAACCAGCAGTCAGGCCGGTAACTAGTCCAATTTGCCCTGCCTCCTCCTTTAGCTTCTCTTTCGTTTCATCAGGTATGCCTTCAACCTGGTAATGAAAGGTGCCATAATCTGCAGGATACCTATATCACCCAAGTCACGGGTCATTATTCATTCAAATAATGAAGCTAACTGCTTGTTTAAGCATTAGTTTCCTTAGTAATTGAATTGTTACTCCCTGTTCATGAAGGCAAACAGTTGTCCCAACTATAATTAAGTTCAATAGAAGTAGAAATATTTACTACTAGTAATTACATTACTAATTAATTATTATTAGTAGTAATGTAATTACTAATAATTACATTAGTAATTATTTAGTACATCCATTTATTTAGTGGATTTTTTTCAGGCCTTTTTTTTGGTAAAGTTTAGTGTTAAGTACTATTATCCTTGTTTCACATATGAGAAAAGGGAACCTGGGAGTTAGTACTTTGTTCAGGTTCACAATGTCAGTAAATGACAAAGCCAGGTTTAAAACCAATTTCTGCCATTCCTAGAGATAATATAAAACTCAATGTGCACAAAGATTTTTTTTTTAAGAGATTGGGTCTTTGGGAGACTCACAAATTGATGGACATGTAAATAATTCATTAAAACATAAGTTAGACTATGGTGGGTATTAGTGTTAAATCTCATGTCAGCTTTATTTCCCAGGTTAACCTAGCTAGTTAACAGTGCCTAGCACATAGTAGGCACTCAGTATAAATTGTCAAATAGATAAGTAAATGAATAAGTATAATTTGTAATTTAAATATATACATAGGATCACAGAGTTTAAAATAATCAATCTGACTGGAATAATAAAAGAAGCAATTTGAATGAACCAGAAGATAAAGTACAGTTTCAAAATAAAGAACTAGGTTAAGTTATTTCTACGGATGAGTAATGTGACCAGGGATATGGAGACTTGGTAGTGTCAGTACTGTGCTATCTCTGGAATGAGAAATGAGTCTAGGGACAGATTAAGATTAGGTTGGAAAGAATTTTAACTAAATGTCTTGTTAATGAGTTTGATTTTTTCATAAGTGGTATGAGAGTTTAATGGAAGAAGTTCTTCAAACTATGTCTCTCCACTATTTTGTTTTTATTTTATAAGTCTAATTAAGTCCTTACAAATTTTGTGAATGCTTGACTTTTTCTTTCAAGACAGACAAAAAAGTCAAACACTGGAATAGCCAAACACA